AAACCCCAAACCCTAAACTTTAGAATCCCCTACATAGCCCACTTTAAGGAGTTCAGACTACAGCCCCAAATGTGCTGTTACGTATTGCACAGGTGCAGGTCCGGCCTGCATACCACGACCCAACATTAGCGTCCTCGCAGCGCAACTTACTGGGGGTTAGTAAGGAGTATGGGGAATATAATGGGGTTATACAGGGACTATGGCAAGAAAATGGAAACTGCTATTTAGGGTATAAGGTCTAGGGTTAGGAGGGAATAAGGGAATATTGGGGTACAATATAGGGTTTAGTAAGGAATAAGGGAGCATTTTACCCCACATAATATATTCCCTTATTTCCTAATAACCCCCAGTAAGGCAATGGACAAGGGCAGCTCTAAAAGAGCAATTGCAGGTGCAGGGATCTGCATGCTCACGCTGCTTGAACGGCTTCTCTGTTCCTGTCAGACTGCAGTAACTTTTGGCCATGAAAATAAAATGACTTGCCAAACCCACGCGGTCCGAGGACCAGTTGGACTTCCCCCATTTCTTGCCGCCTCCACCTCCACAAGGTAAGCACAATCAAACTCAAATGCAGGAGCTGGCATTTAGGACTTAGGATGTTGTTCCTGCCTCCGCTGTAGCCAGACCATTTGTCGTTGGACTTGTCATTGGGCCACTTTTCGTGAGACCACTTGTCATGGGCCCACTTGTCACCATCAGAACCCCTTTCCTGGTCCCATCTCCCATCATTTCCGCCGTGGTTATCATCCCAGCCGCCGTTGCTGGAGGACTCAGTGACAGACAGGACCACATCTGGTAGGGACTGCTTGTAGAACTGTCACACAGCAAGTTCCCCACCGTCTTATGAACATGGAGCTCTAATGCTGCTGTCTTCTGCAGCAGTGCGCAGAGTGTCTCTTTACATGCCCAGGATAATCCGAGTCTCATCTTCCTACCACGACAAACAGCCTTGACCACAATTGATACCCAGATCAAACAGGGTGGCATCTTTTTATGAACCCTTTCTTCTCATTCAACCACGTCAGGCCATCCAAACTCTAAAACTGATCAGGTAGTGCAGCAGAAGGACTGCCGGCTTGTAATTTTCCCACGCAGAGCTCGTCCTTGGACTGCAAAGGACAGAATTGCTTCTAGAATCACGAATAACTGCAGCATCATCCGGGGATACAATATGGTGGTTTCCCAAAACAAGGGGACCTCAAGATAGACCCCAAAATACTTTAGTCCTTATTGTTGGGACCCCCCAAAAAGGAGACCCCTACTTTTGGGAGACCCTAAACTCTAAATAGTACCTTTTATTTTCTTCTCCATTACTCCTATATAACCCCTATATGACCCTGTATAGCCCTTATATAACCCCTCAGCCCCTAATTTTGGAAACCCCCTATAACTCCTGTACAGTCCTCACTATTGAGACCCCCAACAAGAGACCCCTAATCTTGGGAAACCCCAAACCCTAAATAGTAGCTTTCATGTTCTCTTCCATTACCCCTATATAACCCCTATATAGCCCCTCTATAACCCTATGTAAACCCTAAACCCTAAACCTCAAACCCCAAACCCATAACCCCTGCAAAACTGATTTTGGGAAACCCCCATATGATGCCGGTCTCAGGTCTGGTCCCGGTCCCAAAGCCCGGCGGCTGTGGCAGGGCCTCACGGCCTTGGATGTTGGACCCCCGAAAGAGATGTTGACAAAGCGTTTAGGGGTTTAGGGTTTCTTTTTTGTGGGACCGGGTTTAGGGTTTAGGGTTTAGGCCATAATCCCTCTATAACCCCTACATAGCGCCTATATAATCCTATACAACCCTTCTATAACCCCTATAGAACCCTATATTAAGACCCCTATATAACAAGAGGCCGAGAGGCTCAAGTTCACATCTGCCATGGCACGGATTCTTGTCTAAAACACAATAGTGCTGCTTGGCTAAGGACTTTACCATCTGCTCTCGGCTGCAAGATGTGGCTATGAAACGCAAGATCAGCCTTTGCACCGTAAATGTCTACAGTGCTGTGGTAAACACAAGTGTGCGCTTCAAACGCATTCGCGGCACTCTTTTGAGCAGAATTCGGCCCCACTTCAACACCTCGCCAGAAAAGGTCGGTCTGAGGAAATGATCGCATGTCAAGAAACGTCTGGCAATTGACCCTGCATCTACACTCAACGATAGTCAGGCTAAGTGCTCGATCACTGCACCCAGCAGGAATTGGCAAACGCGCAACAAGACGACCATAAGACCATGCCTTCCTTTTTCAATGTCGCATCAATCAGGCTGCATTTCCAGGCGTGCAATTCTTTGGCAGGATTTTGGTTTCTGCGTGACCAATTCTAAGCCCGACAGTTGCGGAGCTTCATTTTGGAAGCGAATGTGCAGAGAGAGGACCTGCCGAACCTGTGCCCGCAAGCTCAACCCCTTGAAACCTCGAACAAAGTAGCAAATATCTTACAGATTGTTAAAGCATCTTGTCTCTTAAGATGCCCTAGCCCCAAACCCTAAACCCCAAGCCCTAAAACCCTAAATAGCAGCTTCCATGTTCTTTTCCGTTGTCCCTGTATAACCCCTATATAACCCCCTGTACATACCCTGGTATAATGCAGTAGTTTCCATGTTCTTTTCCATTATCCCCTCATAACCCCTGTGTAACCCCAAACCCCTAAACCCTGAACCCTAAACCTTCACGCTCGACTTCCTCACTTCGAGTTGCTCAGGTTCAGTAGATACCTATCTTTCGCCGAATCACTAGCTTGCTGACGCTCCGCCTAAGCATGCCCATCCCCTCACATTAAAGCTGCATCTCGAAGAAGAGATCTGGACAGCATCTGAGGTCGCAGCAGGCTGAGTGCTATGTTGAACATCTGTATGCAGAGCGAGGGCCAGGACACCACCGCCCAAGGCAGCGCGTACACATTCAGAAGCAAAGACACGACGCCTGCCCGAGCAAAAGAGAAGCAACCTGTTAAAACCCTTTTCCCTCAAGTCAAGGATGTAAAGAATACATCGAAGTCTTCGGGACCATACATTGCATTCTATCCTGCCCGCATCAGCCCGCCTTCTGCTGCACTTTCTTGGTCCTGCAAACTCCGCAGATGCACCGACCCCGGAAGGTATCACAACGCCGCTGGTCCGTATCAAAGCAACTTGAGCCACGTGGCTTGCCTAAACTAAATACAAACGGTCCTGCAGGTGCAGGAAATCGTCGTTGTAGTATCCTTGCTGCAGGCTGTTCTTCATGGCCTGGTGCCAGCATCAAGAATCTACTCACGTGCTTTTCTCGTTTGGAGCCTGCCAGCCTCGGTAAGGCTCCACATCTTTTCATAGGAAGTGAAAAACGTCAGCAGCCATGTAGTCAAGACGACCATGGCGAACCAGTGATGGCCGCCCCGCATGTAGGCCCACGCAGCATACAGGTCGCTGAGCATGTCGAGAAGCAACAGGAAGGGCTCGAACTCCAGCAAGAGCGGGAGGCTATGCAGAAGCCTATGCAGCTCTTCTCGTCGTACCTCACGTTGCATTGCTAGGCGCTTCCCCAAGATTCTTTAAGTGCTGAAATTTGCTGCTCAACAGCTCCAGCTTGCTGTCGGGCTTCTCGCTGATCCTCTTGGTAATACAAGCACCGATGCAAGCAGCTCAGGGCAGCCAAGGCCATGAAAGCTACAAGGGCGATGGCTCCTCACGTGGGCACGGGAAGGCTTTGCCAAGCCCTAGTTCTATCATTCTTGTAAGTGCATCTACGGTCGTCTAGCAATCCCCATCCTGCAGGGCACCAGAAGAAGATCCCAAAGGAGGCGATCGCGCCCGAGACCGCCAGAGCCGCGCACTTGCCTGCGAAAACAATTCACAACATGAACGGACCACCTCCCACCAGGTCACAGCATGCACATCTAGGCGGTTAGTAGCCTCGTGGAGCAGCAGCCTGCCTGTAAGGCCATGGTAATGCCTTACCAGTGAAGCCCAGGCCGGCCAAGATCACCGCCGCGCGAGCCTCCGGTGCTCCATTCTCCATCTAGTGAGGTCCTCCGCATTTGAAAAAAGCATTACAAGTTGTTGTCGCCTCGGCATCTTCGTTGAAGAGCTCCTCTAATCTCTCGTAGACCTGGATGACCTGGCTTCTCGGTTCGCGGAACTCCGGCAGCAAAGATGCGAGTCTCAGTACATGCTGGGACCTCCATCAGTCCAAGATCCGCCACCCTTCAAGGTCGAGCTTCTGTCCCCAAAAACATTGTGACGACTCTAAGAACAAGTTTGCATGCAGCTGCAGAATCTCTGAAACGGAGGTGATGCCTTGGGCTCCTGTCCGGTGCCATCCTCTTTCTCTAGCAATTCCTCACGGATGTAAGGACAGAGGCTGAGTCACTGTCTGCGCATGCGCTAGCGTGCAGCGGTAAAGATCCGCAATAATACCAATTGGGCCTGCTCCACTTTGAGCAGCCACTCTCGCTCCTGGTCAGCCTCAGTAGCTGAAAAGTTGAGGTGGATTGGATGCAGAAGCCTAAGGGCTCCTTGAGGGCGCCCTGTGTTTAGAAAGCTGATTGCCACGTAAGCTAGTGTCATCAAGCATAGCAATAACCAAGTATGCGTTTCACATCTTGCCGCAGCTTGCCTGCTGCACGCTCTGCAAAACTGCAGCGTCATCACCCCTGATTTCCTGCTGGACAGATTATGTCCAAGTCATGCTGTAACGCTTTTTGACACGATCATCCTGGCTCTCTCATCTTGGTCTCCTCGCCACGTGCACGATCATGATGTCGAATTGGCACCGGTCCTCAGTTCAGTAACGGTATATGCTTGCCATGGGGACTGGCGCGAAAGGTTCGCTATGCTGATAGTCCAAGACCCGCACCATCTCAATCTGCCATGGCACAGAGGGGCATGCTCTTGCCGAGTAGCCTTTGACGATGCTCCTAGATCGGTAGGCCCTTTTCAAGCTTGGCTATTTCATCCCTGTGGACACGCAATCAGCCAGTTTTGCTTGGTTTGCGTCCAGATTGCACGTCCTAAAAAAAGGCGACTTCGCATCCGAGGTTGGGGGGTAGTGACGCATTCAACTGCCTTGCAGCCCTCCCACAAAATCATTGATGAAAGGATTATCTGTAGTAGGGGTGGGGTCGTGCGTCAATCTAGGACATGCTTGCCTACAAAGACCTGCCTCTGTATGACAGAATCTCATGCATGTCAGAATGTCGAGTCGTGCGGTGTTAAATTTGGTGATGCGTGCGATCACTTCCACTGGCAGACTTCTAGCTAGTGATGCAGGTAGGCACGCAAGCATCCTCCATGCTCCAGCTATGACTCAGAGAGTTTCAAAGTCCTCTGCGAAACGGCATGAATTATTGCTGAAGACTTGGTGCTCCAAGCTGTGCCGCCAGTCGTCTCGGAAGTCACCAGGCCGCAACTGTGTAATCTCACGCCAACATGAAAGAGACCGTTGTGGCTTGCAGCATACGTCACACAGTTGAGGCCAGCGTTTCTGCAGAACATCCAAGTGCTCTCCCATCATCTTGCCTTAGCTGCAATGCACATGAACTGAAATCCCCGCACCACAGACAGCTCTATTAGGTGCAGGTATGTACAGGTAAGGCGCAGTGCGGCTGCCGTCTCGGCAAGTCAACAATGACGATTTCTTCAACCCCAAAGCGGCACCAAATGCCCTGCCCATATCGCATCAGTGGTATCGGCTCACCGCCGATGTACTCACCCGCAAGGGTAGTTTGAGATCCAACATGTCCAGGACTGTCAAGTCGGTTGACGGAAACAAGGTGGAAACGATTTTCAGTTGCACGCTCTGTGGCTGCCATCTCAGCGGCTTCCTTTCTGTCCCAGTCGGATGGGTGGAGAACTACCTCCGCGGCATCCAGCGCAATGCACCGCGAGAGCTCGGGGCTCCAGACCTCATCTGCGATAAGCATAGACACCCGCCCAAGGCTGGGCAAGGACTCAACCACAATCCGATCACCCGCTGAAGCCCAGGAGGTTTCTGATCTGTTCAAATGAGTCTTGCGGTACTTCTGCAGCACTGTACCTTCTGTTCCAATCAAGTAGGCGGTGTGATACCGAGAGCCAGCTTCTTCCTCCACCAAGCTGCAACACACATGCAAGCAGCTTTCTTTGCACCAACTTTGCAACTTCTTCAGAACCTCGCTGGAGTACACAGCAGCTTCCACGGGATCTTTTTCTACTTCACCACGACGAAAACACCAGAGAGCTGGCAAAACTCCCAACATGGCTCCACGCCGCGCGGCATATGACACCTGTCGCTGGGTCATCCACTCGGTACACTGGCGAGTATGCGTTGCACTCAGCTGCATCATGGCCACCTTCCTGGGTTGCTGTTAAGGAACTTAAATTAAGTTACCATAATGGGTATATATAGCAAATAATAGGGTTTCCCCAATATACTAACTTAATTTAAGTTCCTGAACAGCAACCCAGCTTCAGCACAGCAGGACCCTCGAAAGGCAGGGTGGCAGGTGCTGGGCCATACATTGCTGCAGCCGGCACCTTAGGCAAAAAGAAAGCGGTGTCAAGCGTCTATTATAGCCCTGAGTTACCCTAAATAGTAGCTTCCATTTTCTTTTCCATTATCCCAATATAACCCCAATCTAACCCCGATAATCCCTATATTCTACCGCTGCTTTTCTTTCCCAGGCAAGGGACCGACTCCAGCGGCTCCGTCATCAGATGGTACAGGTCTGGGCGGCGGAACGTCCACAGGTCCCCCCAGCCTGGGTTGCTGTTAAGGAGCTTAAATTAAGTTATTAGGGTTTAGGGTTTGGGGTTTACCATAATGGGTATATATAGTAAATGATAGGGTTTCCTCGATATAGCAACTTAATTTAAGTTCCTTAACAGCAACCCAGCAGCTGGCCACTTTCAGCTCAGATTGCCATGGTGCCACTTCGGCCACCACCATGTCATCATGCTCCTCCGAAGCTACAACTCTCTGACCCGAAGGATCACAAATTTCAGAGCCGCCTGTCCAAGGCCAGAGCAGACCCACCGTGTTCGGGTTGCCAACGGTATTCGAGGCTACATGCCAAACAGAATTCTCTAACGCACGAAGGGGAATGTGCAGTCTCATTTCATCTGGCCCTCGGCTGTTCAAAGAGTTCAGCAATACCTGGGCACCCTTGAGACTCAGAAGGCGTGCTGCCTCAGGCACAATCCCATCAGCACAGCACAGGAGGCCAAGCCGACCTAGCTCAGTGTCAAAAACCTGATAGGGCTCGCTTCCGGGTTCAAAAAGAGTGTACTCATAGTCCCAGAGCACATGCTTCTTCACGGCACCAACAATGCTGCCAGCAGGTGAGATCAGCAGAATTCCGATATGAACCGTCGGTTTGTGTCGTCCACGAAGATCGACACCAATGGATGCCCATATTCCAATGTCTCTGCAAGCCCTTCTGATCCCGCTGACAAAGCTTCCGTCAAGGGTTTCAGAAAGCTCCCAACACATCTCCCGGCTTGGCTTTCCATCTTTGAAGTATGTCCTGTCTCGATTAGAGTTTTCAGGCATCACGATGAGTCGTGCGCCTTGAGCCTTTGCCTCCTTCATCCAGGAAATGCAAGTCTTCAAGTTCTCCTGCACGTCCACTCCAGAGAAAAACTGCGCGGCTGCAGCCTTCCAAGTCTCTTTAAACGGCGAACGTTCGAAGGAGCGAGAGGTTTGCCTCATTATTTCACCACTGGGCACCTTGGAAAGGACATAGTCAAGTCTCAGCTCATTAGGGGTATCGAAGCTGCTGCTGATTCTCAGTAGCGCCTCTTCGCCTTGAACTACCACCATCTGTTCTGTGCTGAAACCCTCAGACGTCCACACATGGCGCCATTCGTCTCGACCAGCTGCCCCTACTCGGGGTACTGCAGCCGGTCTTGCATAATAAGCACCGTTCATTGTCATGGTGTATTCGACCTGGAGACCGTCCTTCCAACTGTGTTGCTGAATCAAATGCAGCTGATCTTTGGCCGTTGACAGAAAGATAAGCACAAGCGGCTCCATAGCTTCACTTGAAGCCTGTTCATTTGGCACGTCCAGGCTTCTTAGAAACTTTCTGTAGCCATCCGTCTCAGACTCTTTGCGAACCCATCGGCCGGAGAAGAGGCTGGGATCTGCAAATCCCTCGCCATGCATGGGCGCTTGATGAGTCATGACTGGGCTAGGATACTATAGGGCTTTTTAACCCCTATGCAACCCCTATACAACCCTTATATGACCCCTATATAATCCCTATATAATCCCTATATAACCCCTATAGTCCCTTTAGTTTCCATTTTCTTTTCCGTTATCCTTCTATAACCCCCTATATAACCCAACATAGGTATCATTCCAGCATTATAAATGGGGTTATTACAGGGATCCACGCCCCCACTCTACCTTAAGCATCAGTGAGTAGTTGCATGGCATTTGATGTCCCAACAATCTGAGCATGATGGCAATCTCCTTTACTCTTGCAGCCCGAAAGACAAGCCGCATGTGCACAGATTCATTCTCTGTTAGTAAATGTCCAAGTACAGCGCATGAACAAACTCATGTATGCCATTTAATTAGTGGACGTTAGTAGGGAGTTAAGAGAAGATAGTCCAAATATGATCCCTTTTACATTCTTCCCTTGTTATTCCCCACCAACCCCCAGTAAGTTTACTGGGCTGCTGTTAAGGACCTTAATTTGAGCTACCATATTGGGGAAACTCTATTAACTGCTATGTATACCCATCTTGGTAACTTACTTTAAGTTCCTTAACAGCAACCCAGTTTATGTATCAACTCATGCAACTTCCTAGGTCCCTGTTCGAGATGAACCTGCTATCCGTGGCCGAGTGCTCGGCAAAGCCCACAAGCTGCATACAGGCCCCCAGGCGCCTGGCCGAGGCGTCACCGTGGCAAGTTTAGTATTGGGCTTATGTAGTCTAGAATTCCTTATAGGAGGTTATATAGGGTTTAGAGTTGAAACTCCTTAGAGGGTGCAAAATAGGGGATCATATAGGGGAATGTGATAGGCGAGTATGATAGGGGTTAGTAAGCGGGATACTGGGAGTTTACACTATAGCGTATATGAGAGTGTGTGTATATATATATATGTATATGAATCATATAGGGATTATAAGTCCCCTAAACAAACGCAGTTCAACCACTTGATAATCTCTTTGACAGCCTGGTGTAGGCGGTTGAAAGGGGCCCGAAAGGGGGTGCTGCTTGATCAACAGCAATTTGAACATCATCCCCAACAATTGAGTCACTGGTTGGCAAACACTCCCGCAGCTCTTACTGGCTCTATGCTGCAGTGCTGATTAGCTTGTTTTGCCTTCAAGTGATTGTTAAGAGTGACTAACCAGGCATGTATGCACACGGCAGCTAGAAGCCTTAATGATGTGCAGAACTGCTTGGTGTGCTCAAACAATCTTACAGAAGTAACTGCCTTCCTTCGTCATTCCACAGCCATATTTTCTGGTCTGCGCAGCCTTCTCAATTTGGTTGTTGGTGGTGCTGCTGACGCCGCTGATGCTGGTACCAGTGGTGCTTTTGTGGTGCTCGAGGCGGGTAGCGGTCGCAATGCGAGCGGCTATGTTGCGATGCAAAGCGCCGGTTCGCAAATCTTTTGTTGCATGTGATCATGTCCTGACTTTGCGTTGGGAAGCACCAAGGAGAACAACTTTATCTGCGGTTCTTGGGATGTGTGACGGACCTTTCTGGCTGGTTGCGCTATGAGGGTTCCAAACAGTTAGCTGCCAAAGCAGGACAAGGACCATGCCCACTCAAGATGCGATTTGACAGACATGTGCTAGCCAAAACTGCAAAGCCCGCGATTCATTGAGCTGTGTCAGGCCTGCAAAAGATACCCACTGCACTTCCACACTTCCCAAACAGCAACTCTTCCCTTCCGCAACTGCGCATCTGGAGTCAAACAACTCAGCAGCGATTCCACTCTGACACGGACGTGCCCGGAACAATGTCGATTCGGAAGCACAGACGAGCAGTTGACATCAGTGGCCGCTACATGCAGTGCGCAGGCACAATCCAGCTTGACTTTGTAGCATCTGAAGCTCCACCTGCCTGGAGCCCACGATCTTGTGGTCATAGGTACCGTCCCTGTCAGGCATGTCTGTCAGTTCAGCAGAATAGGCTACGGCTACAAGAAACATCAGAATTCACACAGTCACATAACCTGCCTCGCGGACAATTGGTTGCAATCGTCCTCCGTCATCCAGGATGCAGGCTACAGGCACAAAAACGTTCCAAAGTGTTCGCAAACGCTTCGCCTCAACTCACCTCTGGCCTCTTGGCATACAAGCCACTTGGCTGCCTTGGCGGCTAAGCCTGACAGAGAGGATTGCAGCTGAAACACACGACATAGTGCATGCCCAGAAAACAGAGGACATGGATTCGATGGTCAACTTGTGCTAAGCTGGGAAGTGCACCAGCAAAACAAAACGCAGCCTCAGCTGACATCTTGTTCTGCTGTCTCCAGGGCAGCAATCGGCGCATGTTTGCTGGGGGGCCCTGCCCTTTCAACAAATCCAGGTCTATCAGAGATATCTACCACAGCTGCGGTCACGGGTTCAAGCAATCCAGGCCGTTGTCAAGCCGTTCCACAGAGAACTCATACAAAAGGATGAACGTCAGCGCAACCTGCCTACTGCCGAAAGGAGAAGTTCCTTTTATCACAGCTCCGAAAGTCGCCGCCAGCTCAAAGTGGGACATCAAGCGTGAGCGCATGTGAGTGCCGTGAGATCTGTCCCAGCAGGTTGGCATCCAGAGATGAGGTTGCTCAGGCTGTCAGCTTCAACATATGGGCCAGCTTGATGTTGACGAATGCACAATATTGCTCCGAGTCACCGCTCCAGAAGGTTGCCTGCAACGAGTCCCTCGTCATTCTGTCGTCCTTGTTGCTCGGTCACACAGCTTTATCGCAGTCCTCATCTTCAGGCCTCAGTCGTGCCGTAACCATCCGTGAGTTGCATTGACATCAGGGCTGTAAGCATCAAAAAAATACACTGTAATATATCACAGAACAATATACTATTGTAGTTTCCATTTTCTTTTCCATCATTCCCATATAACCCCAATATGCTATTGTGATGATTCTGACTGCACAAAACTAAGCCAGGATGCAAGGCGTCACAGGCAAAGGCCTCGCCAGGCAGCAAGGGGCTAACATACGGAATGACAACATTGGCCACAAAAAGAGATAGGTATATAAAGGTTATTTAGGAATAACGGAAAAGATAATGGAAGCTACTATTTAGGGTTTAGGGCGTAGGGTTCCCAAGATTATGGATACCCTTTTGGGGATCCCGATAATTTGGACAATAGCATTTTGGAGTGTACATCGGGGTCCCCTTCTTTAGGGAAACTACCAGATAGGGTTTGGGGTTAAGGGGCCAACAACTAGATGTACAGTGACGACCACAACCGCTAGAGAAACCACAACCACCACCGCCATCGCCGCGACCACCACCACCACCACCACCACCACCACCAGCACCACCAGCACCAGCACCACCAGCACCAGCACCAGCACCAGCACGGCAGTAAAAGCCAGCAAAGAAAAACAGCCACAGCTGCCGCCAGCAGCAACATGAGACGACAATAGAACATCAACATAAAGAAGGAGAAGATGAATAATGATCTGTTTGGAGCCGCAACAATCACTATTCTGACAGCAGCATCGACAACAGCCGCAGCAGCATCAAACGAGGACAGAAAACACGCTAACAGCAACATCAGAAATGCAGTTGTGTCTTCGCCTCGGTTAATCAATATTTCTCCCAGTCATGCATGGTCTCCAGCAAAAGACAACCACAAAACAATGCTCGCGATGCCTGAGGTGTCAAGTCCACATCCAATATGGCAGACATGATGGCCAGACAGCCAGCCACCAGGCAGCATGGCACACACGTCCTGGCAATGTGCAAACATGACGTCTACGAAGGTGATCCACCTTCGTATAATCCCATTATAGTAGTTTCCATTTCCTCTTCTATTATCCCATTATAACCCCAATATTACTCCAATATACTCCCTATTATCCCTATATAAACCCCATGTAATTCCTGTAGTTTTCATTTCTTTTCCATTCTCCCAATATAACCTCAATATTACCCCAATGTGATAACCCCAATATTATAGCCCTACCGGATTACTCTGAGAGGTCGCTGAATCAACTTTTCAGCTCATCACCTCCTCACCCTGAAGCCTACACGGCTAAATCATCCATATATAAGTAGATAGGGGTTATGTTGGGGTTATATAGGCATTATATAGGGGTTATTTAGGGGTTATATAAGGATAACAAAAGATTGGGTCCTCCCAAAGCCGGTGGAAAATCCTCTCAATCAAGCCTATGCAACCTGTCATTGCATGCAAATCTGAGGACAAGGCCCCAGCAAAGCCAAACAGAGCTGCCAACTTTCGGCCTTTCCTTCCACCCCCAACCTCAGCCAGCACTTTGCGCCATCCACTGGCAGCCAGGAAACGCACAGCGACCCCTGAAACATCCTGAGTTCGGGTCACAATCCAGATTGCCTCAGATCTCCCAGAAGACTCCAACGCAAGCTGAGCCCCTTCTTGAATGAACGTCATGCATACCTTCAGTGCTGATGTCTGCAAGTGGCACAACACCAAAGTTGTTACTTCAAGCTTACTTCTGCGCAGCATCTGCTATAACATCACAAGGAATCAACAAAGTCACTCTGACATCATAAAACGGAAAATTGCCAGGCGGTCAATATCCGAAATACCAATTTCAACAAATGCCTCCAAACGACAGTGGGAAATCTAACAGCTGACCCGAGACTTCGCTACATGAACACGTTCAGGGGCAAAAAACATTGCCTAAACACAGCACGTCCGTTAGCCAGTGCATTGAGAGGGCCCCCATTGAGAGAAAGCCAGCCGTCACTGCGACAGAACGAGAACGGTCAGGATGCTTGCAACTTGCAACAGCAGAGCGGTTGGCAAGAAGAGTGGAAAGAAGAAGTTGGGCCAAGTTGGGCCACAGCTGTTGTCCTCATGAG